GGATTGTGAATGCTGTAGCCCCCATATAAATTTCTGTAGCCTTCTCATTTTATCTAAAATTAATAAATTCTTGTTTGGATACGAATTCGTTTTGTACCAAAAAGGTAGGAATACTGGTCGCACGAATTGGGTGCGCACACTGAACACGTTTTAGTCTATAAAATAGTCAGTGTTTCGGTGATATCGCATTCGTGACATCCTGGCACGCAATGGATAATCCATTTTCGACGTACGAACGTTAATGAAATCCAGACAAGTTCGGATTGTTTAGTACGTCGGAGTTACACATACGTATACGTACGAACACCTTGCACCCAGTCTGCGCGCTCACATAGTATTTGGTAGGCCCGGGATCGTTCGTGCGTGTACGTACAAGATCACACGAATCAAATTCGTAAGAAAACGCATTCAATGTGCGCGCGGCCTTACGACGTGTCCTACGTGGCGTCCGTTAAATACGTCCGATGCGATAATCCGTCAAGAAATAAAAACAAATATATATAAATTAATACAACTGTCCAAAGTGTACGGCAAATGCGATAATCCGCTAACGGATCGGACGCAAATTTGAAAAACAAAATTATTTGTTTTTGCCGTATGCGATAATGCGTTTGATATAAAATCAACGTCGATCGAGTGCTAAAATTTGATATTATATTATTATAAATTGAGTATCTACTACTGATGAGCACAACTGACTGACGAGTGACGACTACGTACTACAAATAATCGACTATTTATAACTATTATTAACACTATTAATACACTATTTATAATACAATAATATTTTATTATTGGATGATTCGGTGTACAGACGTTTTTTCCGACCTACACACTAACTGTCGTTAACATACGACAGTAAAACTTACTAGAGCAATGTACTCTTAAATCGCCTGTGATGGACTGACGAAAAATTGTTATACAAAAATCGTATACATTGCAATATCACATTGACGGATGCTTCTTAGGACACGGCATTAGCAGTCCATTGTGTTTTGACAATTATTGCACTAACATACATAAAACTACTTACTTTTATCACATACATGTTTATTTATAGATCAACGTCGTATTAATTTTTTGGATTTACTCTGTGCCATCGTTGGGCCATGCATTGTCGCGTCGTCCGAAGATAATATTATAATGATAACGGATAATAATTTGAGTGAAACACACACATAATAATTATTTATTTATCGGTATTTTTCTCGAAATTGGTGACTGGTCTGTCTTTGTTGTTTACTTATGTACTGCTAATCAAACACACGCCTGTCTTATATTTTTCTATAAAGTATATTATTTCATACATTTTTAATTAATTTTGATATGTTTGTTTCTTTTTTTTTTTTTCATTTTTTTTATTTTTTAAAAAAAATGTTCAGTATATTTAATATAAAGAAAAAGCCTGACAAGAAAACATTACCACCAATTAGGGACGATGACTTAGCAGTGGATGATACAAGTCCAATAAATAGTAAAATTAAAATTAATAATTCGTCAATACCTGATGATCTTAACAATATTCAACTCGAGCATTCTGAAATTGCATTAAATGACTTATTTCTGTTAGACTCGGGGAACTTGGAAGCAGGACCAACTCAAATTAAACTAAACGGAAGTACTTAAGGTGTGCAAAAAACATAGATGTTTTTAAAACACCAAGGTTTATGTTCGATACATCGATGTTTCACTATCGATATTTAGTCTGCTATATCGAAGAAAACATCGATGTTTTATTGATGTTATGAAATTTTTTATAATAGTTTTTTTCTTAAAATTATTTGTATTACAATTTTACCTCACACCAAATGTTGTCAGTTGTCACAAATGTTTATATGGTTATTCAGTACATTTTTTAAACGTGTTAACTAGGCGACACAAATGTCGTCTAGTGATAATGTTTTGTTGCTTAGTTGATAGTGTTTTGAAAAATTGGGTAAAACACAATTAACTGTTGAAAAAAGATATTTTATTAATTATTTTAAAAAAAATATATAAGTTTAATTTAAAAACTCAAAATGAGTTGTTTGTTTTTTTATGTATTGTAAAATAAAATGTCAGGTAAAGAATGAGACACCTATAAATTGTTTTTTCTAGGAAATGTTCTCTTTCGCTTTAATTCAAATTAAAGATAAGGAGTTTCTGGAATACATTTTTCTAGTCCTATAATATAGCCCCCACAGATAATAATACCATGAATAATACGCCCATGTTTTTGATGCATATAAATCCGTACTATAGTTATAATTAATTAATGTTAAGCACTATAATTTAGATAAGCAGTAAATATTTAAATGCCATCAATATATGTATACTCGTATTATAAAATTTGAGATTTGATGTTTGTAGTTAGGATAGGAAAAATCTCTAACCAGAAAATAAAATTATATTAATCTTGGAAGCTACTGTTTATTTTTTTTCCTTCCATGGTTGTTCTCATGATTGTTATGATATTATTTTCAAGAGCTGTGTTTGCTGTCTCTGTCTCAATATATATCAAATATAATGGCGTGCTAGTTTTATATACTATCAAATGTAATAAATTATGGTAGATTAATGATGATGGAATAAGAGTATCATACATTTGTTTTCACTATATGGTATATGAGTATGTTTCTACAATAATATACGTATTAGGGTAAATGCACCTTCACAAGATCATTGAGCCATCAAATGATGAACTTAATTCTTTTTTTGTAATATTTTTGCTAATTTATTTTTATTTAAAATATAATAATACATTACAAGTAGTTTTTTCTTTGGTCTTCTATATCGATACGTCTGGACGATACGAAAGCAAAAATTAAACTGAAACGTGAAGTCTGAAAATATGACTAGGTAAATAAAATACGGGTGTCGCGTATTTATGTGTACATTTGAACACAACCAAGAATTGCTTTATGATACGCGTCCATGTAAAACGAGACTAATGATAAAGAGAATAATATTGATAATTTTTCCGTAAATAATTAATAACTGTTAGATTTTTAGTAAATACCCATAATCGAATGTTCTTAACATGTACAGATTTATATTACTAACAGTGAATATATTTCACTTGAAGTATTTTCAAATTTTTTTTAATCATTGTATTATTGTCACTAAATACATCGTACTTATTATTATAACATTTAAAATTATTTTAATTTTTGTTTATATAAAAAATATAATGAAATAAATTTACTTAATAACTCTTAATTCTAGAAAAAAGCCGCCTTAGGCTATAGCCAATTTATCCTGCCTTTTCAGTTCGGTATAACTTGTTAGTTCAGCCTCGGGGATAATTTGTTTGACAAATGAAGTTCTCGGAAGTCCTCGGTCTCTTTTATCTTCAATTATTTTTTCTATTATTCTATGGGTTAGTTCATTTTCTTGTCTCAATATATGACCCATCATGTTCCATCGTCTTGTTCTGTTGGTTTTGAGTATCTCTCTTCGTTCATCTATTTTACTGAGTATGTTTTCGTTGGTACGGTATTCTATCCAACTCATTCTCAATATCCTTCTTCAACACCTCATTTTGAAGCTTTTGAGTGATCGTTGTTGTGCCTTATTTAATATTCATGTTTCGCAACCATATAGTGCAACACTCCATACATCTTATGAATTGATTAACGCGATTTTTACGATATTTATTTTCATAATTTTTTTTCAGCATTTTGTCGCCGCGAACAATGACGCCGCTACCAGGTATAGGCGCGGATCTAGAACTCAAATTTGGGAGGGGGGATCATTTTTTCGAAAGAACAACAATTTAATACACAATTACAAAGTTATGAAAGTAAATTATTAATTAAAATTAGAACGTTATTAATATATGAAATTGTTAGTTTTTAAAATTAAATAACAAAGTTTAATCTCCTTTGTTTTCTTTTTCAAAATTTAGAAATAATATCATCGACATTTATGGATATATTCTTATGAATATTAAGCATAGCGAGACCGGTGAAGCGTTCTTCTTACAAATTTGAATGATGCCATGTCTTAATGCGCCTGAGAGTAGAGAATGATCGCATGTATAGTATTTTGTAACAAGTTGTCAGAACCTAAATTAGCGATTAGCGGTACCGTAGCAAGTATATGGTATAATTATACTAATATTAATATTACTACTAATATTAATATCATATAGACATATAGGTAACGGATTGACAATAATCTTATCTAAGGTAAATTATGTTTCCGTCGAAGGTTGGGTTATTATACTTAAGTATAATTACTCGCCAACAATATTATTATAATACTATATATAGTCTAGAAGTTGGATAGAAAAAATAATTTTATGAACAAGTAGTGATGTAGTTAAAATGTATATAAATATAATATGTTGTATAACATTATTATTGCAAGGAAAAATCTAATTGAAAAAAATGAAAAAAGCAATTTATGCATATTTTAAATTTTAAATAAACACGAAGGACCTAATTTTAATGTTTTTTTGGGGGGTCATGACCCCGATGACCCCCTCCTCCTTGGATCCGTGCCTGACCAGGGACTGGTGGTCGAATATCGTATATCTACGTGCAGCAACAGCAGCAGAGCACACACCATGTACAAGTCGTGTGCACCTATGTTCATGTATAATATAACAGCAGCGTTGTGATAGTCGGGTCGATTGTTTGTGCTACGCTACATCGCATCCGCGATATCACGCAGGCAATAGCGATCAGTAGCAGGCCCGACGCGACGGCGGACTCCCGCGAGACACCGACACGGTCGAACAGTCGCAGTACACTCGCACAGAGACACGGGTAGAAGCAACACACGCACGCACGTACACAAACACAGGCACACGCAAACATGCGTACGGAAACACGGATAGGGTACAACGCACACACTCGCACGGAAAAGCGTAAAAAGCGAAGAGGTAGTCGTCAGCCATTGCGGCGGTCGGCGTGCCATTGGTCGGCGACCCGCCGCCAATCCAAGCGGAATGGAAAACGGACCGAGCACACCCGAGCCCTCTTGCCACCGGAGGGGGAAGACAGACTCGTCGTCGCGGTCACCACCACCGCACTGCCGGCCGTCAACGACACCTACCTCCACCGCCGCCGACGCCACGGACGCGGTGCGACCCGAACCCGACGGCGGCGCGAACGAGCACGCGCGCGCGCAGACCCTCTCACCGGTGCGAGAGCAACAGCAGTCCGTACGTGCGTACCGTGCCCGTCGTTTTTCTGTCGCCGTTCGTCGGTTACCGCCAACACCAAACCAGTGCGTCTCGTTGTGCCATCGCGTACGGTGTTTTTCTCTGCGTGCGTGCGTGCGTCCGCGTGTCTGCAAAAGTTCATCTATGCTTGTGCGCGTGTGTATAATACGATTGTGTGTGTGTGTGTGTGTGTGTTCGTCGTCGTTTAAGTTGCTTTTGTTTCTTTCCTCTTTGGCCGGCACCTTCGCGGTCCGCATACTAGATTTCGCGAGAATTTTCTCGTATGTCGACCGCGCGACGTACCGCCGTTTAGCGCGTTCGGATTTATGTTGCGCCGAAAAGTGCACGTCGTCTTATCTCGTCGTGTCGTGTACGACCGTTCAGCGTTAGTCCGCATCGATTTCGGACGAAAATGTGAGTCCACAGCATTATAAATATTAATATAAAATTCATAACAGGTACCTACATATAGTATGATAAAAGAGCACGAACGAACGGGGCGGGAACGTCAAGTCACACTTTTTATTCAAAGACTCCTGAATAGCGATTTAATTTTCGCTGAACACTGTATACTCGGTAGGTACATACTTTGAACTAGATATCGAGTTCTACTCAGTGCTAACCAACAACCAACTTCCAAGTTGAATTGTACTTCTCGAAATTCGATTGTTCATATTTTATTAGTATATTCGCCTGTGTATAAACTTTTTCATCCGCGCAATATCCTGAGCGTAAATGGGAGATATACATGAATGCACTTTTATGCATTTTGTAGTAGTCGGCTTCGATCGACCGATTTCTTCATACTTCATACACTTAATGTAAATTTATATTAATACTACACATGCGGATATATTCTGAAACTGCCTTATATTTTCAATAACCCTCCTTAAAAATCATGAACGATATCTAATTCCGTTATTCACTATCCTTTTGATTTATCTTATCTATATAATTTATTTATACTTACTGTTTATTTTTCAAAATTGCTTTTGATTTTGTGTTTTTACGCTTTTTAAAATAATTAACTTCACGCAATATACTGAAAGGTAGATATAATTCATCCAGTGCCTCCGTGTACGATCGTTAGGTTAGTATAGGTAAGGTTGGAAATATTAACTATAAACTATGATAGATTATGATAGAATCTCAAAGTATTTGGTTTTGATGGAATAAGTGCCGTTTTCAAAATTTTGAATGTTCATAAAGTTTATATTGTTAGGCGTTATTATCTGGTACGAGTTATAGAGTTTGAAAGTAAACTCGTACAATATACTAATATCTACTATTTATGATTTTACCAATTACCTATTTAATATTAAAAATAAAGTTCAGAAAAAATTAGAAGCTCCCAGAATCCTGCAGATTGCGGTGATGCATTCACTGACCACGAATACGGGTTTTCTAAGGATTTTTATGGATTCGTATCTATACTCAAGACATTTTTTGCCGACATTCTTATCCTTATAGTGTTCTATACTCCACGGTTGAGTATTACAATTAATTCATGTAATATAGAATTCAGATAACCGTGAAAGAGTGTGAGAAACTTTTTGCAATTTAGTTATTTCTTATATTAGTTTATTATTGAGTGTATTTTATAACGATTTACTAATACTGTATATGACGACGGGTAAAGTATGCATTAGTCCATTTTCAAAATCTTTGATATCAATTATAGGTTGTGATAGAATGGCACTTATACTATCCTAAATCCTAAATTTTTCTTAAAAGTCACATATGTTTATAATACGTTAGTAGTTATAATAAATTGGAAAAAAACATTTTTCAAAATATCCATTCTTGTTATTTGCTTTACTTTGCCTATGGTGCACAAAAATATATCACTACATAATATGGTAGTATATATAAATAACATAATATAATAGTATATTTAAGTAAACGACATAAAAGATTAATATTATGATATTCAGCATGTAACTGTATGACATTAAAGTTTATACGTACATGGCTAAACTCCCGTTTAAGGAAATTAACATTTTTAATTGTCTATGTATATTCCATGGGAATATAAAACAATAATAGATGTAGGTATTTCAACAAAGAGTGTAAAAATAGACATGGCTTGTTATAATAATCTATATCAATAATCTATTATTTTACATTGTCTTTACAATATAGTTTTATAAATAACTATTGTGTCGTAGTTTACCTGTGTATTTATATAATACCTGAAATAATTGCCAGTATTGATGGGTATATCTAATATTACCCATGGGTATTTATAAATGTTATACATAACAAAACAATCTGATATACAAATGGCTATAGCCAAAAATAAAGTTGTGGTAAATTCAATTATTTTATACTTATTTAATCTAAACATTATGAGATGTTATAAACATATGTAATTGTATACTTCTACTAAATTTTCATTTACTTATAACAGTTAACATTAAAATCAAAATCCCGTAATTTGATTTTATGTTTCTCGAACGAATAAAAATGTTCATTTATACGATTAATTTAGTTCTCACCTTTAGTTGAAACAGGTTGAGTTTAACAATTTAACAAAACAATGCGAACCATGTTTTTTTTTATTTCAAAAAGTATTATAGAAATAGAAAATAAAAAAATAAATTAGTATATTAATACTATTGATGCTTAATTTTGTATTTTTCATCGATTATAAATTATAGTAATATACTTATGTCTGTGTTATAATTTTTACCACGAATATTGGAAATATAAGTATAAACTTTATAGTGACGCATTATTATTTAAATTTATTCAATAAGAATAACAGATACCTATATTTTATAGTAGTAAATATAGTATTATGTTAAACTGTAAAGCAATTGAAATTATTACATTTTGATACATATATGTTTGTATTTATGTTAATATATTAGTTTTCATTGTGAGGGGAAAGTTTAATGTTATATTCCTATAATAAAAATCGTTGTTAAGATTTTCTATTTTAGATAATCTAATAAATTGATTTGATAAAAATGTGTAGGTTGTTATAGTTACTTTTATACAAGATTAGTCAAACAGAAATATATTTCTATATTGTTGATAGATATATAGATAGATGTTGGTGTTATCTGATTCTTATAATTATAAATATTTAGTTGGCAAATATTTAAGTATAAATGCTATACGCTTAACTGTAATTTTATTTGCGAGTATGATAATAATAATAAAAAAAAAAAAAAAATTATTAAAAAAAAATTGATTTTAGAAAAGAAAGTTTTTAGAAGAACATTTTACCGATCTGTATCTAACGTTTCAAAAATTTTATACTTATATTTATAGTTATTAATTATTGTATTAGATAAAACTTTCTATTTGTAACGGAAATTGTTTTAAAACCGTACCAATGAATCGCGACAGTGTCACATATAGATTACCAGCAGAATAATAATTGTTATCGTAATGTACTCGGCGCACGCATTGAACAAAATTTGTTCTAATCGACCGAAGACAACATTTAATGTTGTCTTCGGTTGATTGGGTTTCCTATGCACAATGTGTACCGTTGCTCAGTGTGCATATTAGGCTATTTATTATTTTATTTATTTACATTTTTAAAAAATAATATTGTAATTTGAAAAAACTAGACGTTCACATTTTAACCATAAAGAATAGATTAATTTGTGTTTAAGCAGGTGTTAAAACTTAAAAGCTTGGAATAACGATGAAAGCGTGTATTTTATTTTCTTAATTAAAAAGAGAAAATGTTTTATTAGCATCTTGTATACATAGGTAAATAAATGTTGATGGAATATTGATCGAGTAAACTATTTTCTTCGTACCTATTAAATTACATGTAAATACATTGAATATCGATTAGAAGTTCGTGACCTATCCCGCTTACGATACTTCCATCGTACGAAAGGTGTCTACATATGCATGCAGATAATTTTTCGATCGCATGTCATCTTAGAACATCAATCAGTTTTCAACCGTAAGACACAAATTATACAATATCACTTGAGCTATGTTTGTGGATCACTTTAAAATAAAAATACAATTAATTAACGTAATCAGGACGTTAATTAGTATAGGATAAACCAAACATAGTTAATCTAAATCTAACGAGGGAAATAGTGACTTAATCCAGATTTATAAGATTTATAACACTACTTGCGTGACATTATTTCACAGTCATTAATTACTTAAAAAGTTTCTTTATATTTAAATAATATTCATAAAAATTTAATATATTTGGTTTCTATGATTTAGATATTTTACTGAGTTTAATTACTTAATTTATTTTCATTTAACCTAAACATAAGATTTAATATTAAATTATTTCTATTTTGTATTTAAAATCGTATAAAATAATAAAATTTTATAATAATTAAATAGTAATAAACATTTTAAGTTCACTAAAATAATAAAAACTAATAATTTAATATAACTTTAAAAAACTAAATTATAAAATTTTGGAATAATTTGAAGTAAAATCATTTAATTATAGAGATATAAATATATAAAATATTTCTAATAGTAGTATACAGATTTCTTTGCACCTTACGGTCATTGGAATATTAGAGGAAAAATAGGTAATAAGGAATAATGTGTTAAAATGATAAAAACTAAATGTAAATTTTAAACGATAAGTGTTACGTTTATTTGGCCAAGTAAAATAAAGGGTTCATAAAAATAAATAGTTATCTCTAATGTATAAAATAATTTCTAAAACTGCACGTAAAATATCGACAACATTTAGACCACATTAAAACTGTACGTTAACCGCTATAATTACGTAAAATTAAACGTCGGTGAAAATATTTGATAAGTCATAAACTCGTATAACTATATAGGCACTGTTTTATATTGCTGCAATGTATTTTTTTATGCGTTGTCAAAAACAAATTACCCTCTATTGCACGCGATTTCTGATAAAATATTAAAATTTTTACGAAATGATCATATTAAAAATATTGTATGGCATATAAATATACAATAACTGTGAATATAATTTAAAAACAGCAAGACGAATAATGTGATGACTATATATGATATATATATGTTAATAAATTATAATTACAATACATTTACAATTTGACTCGATGTATTTATACAGCACACATACACATAGAATATAGTATATAGACTAAATATATGAGTAACAGAAAATGTGGCTTGTACTATTTACTAAAAACAGCAAAATCGTTGGTATAGACAAATTAAACGTAAACATACATTTAATATGTATAATTACATTTTTAAATTTCAACCTAAGTTTTATTTTCAGTTATTTTCGTATTTTTATTATTAACTTTTTGGCTGGTTGGTATAATTACCCACGTTAAAAGTTTCTTGTTTCTCTTTTTTTTTAATTTTAACATTTAATTATTAAATTTCAACGAAAGGTTTCATGTTAACTCAGTCCTTTTTATATCGAAAATTTAATATTTACAGTTTTTTAGCTTCATTATAATTTTTATTTGCGTCAGTGCATTTTAAATCTAAAAGAAACACTGGAAAAACATAAACTATTTAACTAAGAAAATTTCTTCTTATAAGCATATCTTAAGTTTGTAATTCTTTTAATAAATCAAATCATATTGCGATATAGGTATAAAAATACGAATATGAGACTAATCACCTATGTACATTTGTTCTAATATATTTCATCCAATAGATTATAATATATTTCCCTTCCGTATATTTGTTCAGAGTAAAAAAATAAAAAAATAAAATAATGACTATTATTTTTATTAAATTTTTTAATATTAAGTTTATGTCTAATACACACAATTTAATTATATTCCTTATAATATTCAATTATAAATTTAAAAACCTTCAATAATTATTATAGATCACGGTTTTTTGATTGTAGTTTCTGTTAAAATTTGTTTTTTGTTAAAATTAATATTAAATTGTTGTTTCAAGACTCAATTTCAACAAAATTAACAATCTCAAATACTTTTATTGTGCGTGAAACACTTGAATATATATCAGACGAATGCGATTATAATGGTTGCACTACACCCATCCATCCTATTGACCTACACCACAGTTTTCACTATGTCTTACGGTTGCTGTACGTCTCGGAAAACCGGGATTGTCACCGGTTTTGGACTTCGCGTCCTGGTGTCCCGAAAAATGTTTTTGGGACGTCCATATGTCCCGGCTTAGACGATTAGAAGAAATGTGATATTGTTTAATTTTTAATTTCGACCATTTTATCTCAAAGTACATTTTTAATCGTAATCGATTAACAATATATAATAAAAATATAATTTGTAATTTACACATTTAAATATATAATATATTTTATTTGACAAAAAATGTTTTAAATATTATATTGCTGTATACATAACTTTTTTATGGGGGGGGATCATTTGCATAAAAATCATTATTTTTATTTTATGATTATTTTTTTTTACGTTTCTAACGCCCTCACACTAAAAACATTATTTTATAACATTTAAAAAAAGGCCTAGGGGAAATCTGACCTCCACATCCCCTCTTGTATACGCCACTGATCCTCTCAATATATTTAGAGTTTTATAAAAAGTATATAACTCAATATTGTGTATGTGTTGTCCCGGTTTCCCCTTATAAATTTATGGAAACTCTACTATGTCTTACTCTCACCGTATGTATTTAGTTGTAGATATCTCGTGTATAACGGTTAGGTTAGGTTTAGTGCATATACACTCGTGGTCATTGTATATAATACATACTCGTACAATCCATTATAATATATATACGTACTAAATGTTATAACGGTGATTGTCTTAGAAACCCTATTGCTCACATGAAAATTTAATATTATTATTATTATTACCATTATCATCATGATTGTATACCGTTAAACTGTAAAGCTCTGAACCAGTGGTTCTCAAACTGGTTCACGTACCCCTTGGGGGTACTCGAGATTTTTCAAGGGGTACGAGTCTGGCCAACAAACCTTTAGATTTAAATTATGTAGAAAAGGTTGTTCAAGTTTAAAAGTAAATATAGAAACAAGTTAAATGTTGTAGATGATTTAATATTGTATTTAACTAAATTAGAACCCAATCAGGGGTGCTAAGAAAAACAAGCTAAACCTTCTTACTAATTTTTTTTGAAAGTAAGCTCTTTTTGTTTTTAACATTTTTTGCGTATTAGTTTTTAATAAAATAAAAATATCATCAAGTTTTTAAATTTTTTTATATTTATTTTAGTTTTTCTAACTAAGAAGGAGTACCCGAAAAAGTTTATTGATAAAAAGGGGTACAGTGCTTATAAAAGTTTGAGGATCCCTGCTCTTAACAAACGATAAAACCATTATATATATTTTACAGACTTATACGTAGCGTCAAGGTTAATACCGAGGATCGGGTAAACTAGATTAAAATAGACAACACGGACACGTCAAAAGCCGCCGCCACGGTACTTCACGTCGTGCTGTCGTATAGATTAGAATTGTGATGGCCGTGACATTCGGTCAGTGGACGAGTCACTACACGCGCGCAGCGCCGACACCGTTAGTTGCTTGAGGCGCCCCCAAAACGGAGTACGTCACGGGGACGGGGCCATGCGGCGCCCCCCCAGCACCTTACCATCAGCCCCTGATAGAGCATCACCAGAACCACGTACAACATCACCAGCTGGTGTCCGCGTCCAACGGACAGTTACGCGGTCAGTCCGGTGCCGTCCCTATGGCTGTGGCCGCGGTTTCAGCACCGCCCGTCCAGCCCGTCAACCCGCTGAGCACCGTGTACGCGACGAAGAGGCGGCGGCGTAACGGAAAGAGGTATGTGTCTACCACCTGTATATTGTAATTACCTATAAAATTATTATTTGATTATTTTATTTTCAAAACAACAGTATTTTTCTTTATCAATTTATTAGTTATTAAACAATTCGTTGTCGCGAGTATAAGTTGAAATTAATCTTTTTACATTAATTAATCATTTTTGTAAAATTATGCAATGTTAATTTTATATTTAAAGAAGGAGAAAAAAATTCCAAGATAAGGCGTGACATAGAAATGGATGAATGATATTGTTGCATTGGTCTTTTAAACTTGGAACCAATAATGTACCATTTCTGTTGAAAAATTGATTCCTAGTGCAATTTGATCAGGTTATATTTCTAAAGACGATTGATATTTAAGTAGAACTAAGTTCCTTAATAAGGTTGCTTAAACTTTTAATAAACTACAAAATGTCTACAAATTTCTAAGTACTCAATAAATGTTTTAAGTAGCTACGATTAATATTTATAGATTAACAGTGAAATAGCTAATATCGTTTAATGGAAATACGTTGACATACCAGATTTAATATCGTTGATGTTACTCTATTAAAAAAACGTAAAGTTAAGTAAATATAGTTTTTGACAATAAAACTGGAGTATTATCACTACCATGTGTGTATCTATTATACTCGCTTAAGTGTATCCTACGCTCGCAAAATAACTACTTATTACCTATGGCCATATATACAAATATAATAAACTTGCGCGTATAGAACTATAAACGTGATTTAATAGGATAATACGTGAAGGAAAAAAAATTAATCCTGCGAATGTAACTTCACGCGCCCAATGTATATACGCATAGTCACTGCGACGTAAAACGATATAACCTATAGGTTATATATTATAATATATGACTATCATGTGTACCTATGTATAATGTATAAACGTATATATTTACATTTGTTTCGGTGACCACGGCGCGCGAATGGCTTCCAAAAGGGTATCTGTTCGTGTGACGTGTGCGTATATATGTACAACAACACTATTATGCGTGTTTTTTTTCCTTTGAATAATGTCAACAATACTGGCGTTTTTTCACTTCTCTTTGCTCTTAAACGTTGATCGATATAAATCGGACACGCTTGTACATATTTAATATTTATGTTTTGTGCGCATCTATATTTATTATAATATACAGTGGGCGCCACGTGTGTTTATGTAATTGATGCATTTCGTACTCTCAGTATGACGTCACTAGCTCCATTACCGGAGATTATGTTACACCGGTAACTTCTATAAACGCGTACAACGGGCGCGAGCGCACAAGAACAACAACACACAGTGGATCCGGACCGGTAATGTAATGTTTGTCCATCACGCAATCCGGCGCGGTCGACGCCGAGCGGACCTGCCACACTGGCCACTCGCGTAAAACATAGTACGTAATATACCTATACGCGCGCGTGCATTATACCCGTGAACCGGGACTGTCCCTCGCGATTCCGACCCTCCCGTTTTCGGTCCCTCGTCGGTAGACTCCTTTCCCCACCCTAAGGCTCGTCTCATGTACCCGCCTTCCATAGCCAAAAGTAATGATCAGTGGTCAATCCTTACCAGTCGCGCACAGCGCCCTTCGTCTAAAACATTAAATATATACATTTATATATACACACATACATACGCTTGTTACATCGTATGAGTATATATGTATTGTTAGCTAAACCCGCGATGCGAGTGTATAACGCGCAGGGACGGATTTACGACTTACAGGGGTCGCTTCCCTCTGCCGGTCCCATCGTAATAACTTGTTTTCACTTCGTCCGCGCGTCCGAACTTTTCGTTTCGTATGTACAGTTCATGTATTTATATATATTTATGTGTGTGTGTGTGTTTGCAAGGAGAATAACAATTATGGAGTAATGTTTTTTTCGAAAATTAAATTGCAATCGTGAGAAACGAAAATAAATTTGATTTTCCGATTCTGATGCGGAAAATAATTATTGTAGTTGCTGTAATAGCCGTAGGCAAAATACAATCGGTTTAATATATGATATTCTTCGAGAAACATATTTATGTGAATGGACTATGTTAAGGTTTGCAAATGAAATTTTATTAATTCAATTATACTCTTGCAATTAATCTTTTCATTTCGAAAAAGTAAAAATGTTGACAGTTATTGAAATTATTTAGATTGGTGTATTTGTTTGATAATATTTAGGGTACGAGTAGCACGATTAATGTGTCAATCCCAAGGATTCGTTCTAAAAGATTAAAATTATAACAATTAGTTTGATAATATTCTTATTAATTCTTTTGTAAATAAAATCAAAACTTTAGTACTCTAAAGTACTCTAGGTTATCCGAGTCATTTGTTATCAGGAAGTGTACAACTATAAATCAATTAATGTTTCTTGTGTGGAAAATTTGAATTACCCACTAAATTAATAGTACTATTTTTATTGGTATTTTTCGCACTAGCTAGTAAATTTATATTTTTGATTTAATATGAAATATTTATATTACATACATAAATTGATGCGAGAAAAAACTGATAGATACAACAAGGGACTAGGTAAATTGGGTACTTTTTGAAATCAGTAAGTTAAGTCCTGGAGAAAAAAAGTTGTAGACAAGGAGTTAAAACGGGTTACAACCCGGTTTTGAAACTCGGGGTACTCGGAAAAAATTTAAAGCGGGTATGAACCGAAACCAGAAAATGATGTGAACTCGGTTTTTACCCAAAACTCAAACCCGGAGAAAAATTAAATCAAGTTTCAACTCAAACACCAGAGTTTAAATTAATATTGAAATGTAATGTAAAATGTTAAGCCTTGAACTAATTTGATACAAAGAAAAAAAAAATAAAGCGTTTATCTTTACTTTATTTTCGGGAACGTAAATGGGAAATGAAATGTTAATTTTTAATTTCAATTCATCAATGCTGACGATATCGGTAGCTTAGAAAATCTCCAGTTTATTATTAAATAATCTACGCGGAAATCTTTCTTCAACCATTCTATAAACTATTATGTTAATCAAATATAATAAATAAATAAAAATTTTAATATTACACTGTTTTATTTTACTATCTCTTCTTAGGTACATTCATTTTATAGTGTACCATATTATTATTAATATTTCATTTGTATGTGTTTTTCATGCCTAAGATTCCTATAATTATTTAATCCTGCATACTTAATTCCACTTACCAAAATATTTTAAAATAGACCTAATAATGTGAATGCCACATATGAATAACTAATAATTTTTAGTTATTTTTTGTATTTTTCAATAATTAATTATATGAAATACATTTTTAAGCTATTTTTTAGCCTTAGCAGTACAGTTTGGTTTATCATAATGTCATAAATCATTAGAAATTAATTTCATTACATAAATAAAATTATCTAGTAGTTTTGTATAAGGATTTTATTAACATAAATACCATTAAGAGTTTATGACTAGAAAATTAAAATTAAAAATGATTGTAATATGTAGTACTTAATTTTTGTAATATTTAAATTATTAATTAATTAATTTATTTTTTTAATTTAATATTTTTTTAATATTTATGTAAAATGTAATACTTATGTAATTAGATGACTTTGGTTAAATTCAATCTTAGGTACTTGTATTTTCTACAAAAGGAGTAGTTTTCTGAGGCTTCAGAGAAAACTCCTTGAAACCACCATTTCTGCCTAGCAAAATTATGATGTACCTTTCTATGAGAATAAGAAAAAATAAAACGCAGTTTTAACCCGTTAATTGAAATCTAAGACTAAATTATATCCGGTTTTATCCCATTAACCAAAACCTGATAAAACATAAAACCTGGTTGTAACCCAGCAATCGGAATCCGTGAAAAGTCAGCCTACTTTAACTCCCTGGTTGTAGGTAAGTTAAGTACCGGCTAATAATCTGATTTTTTTTCAACGATAAAATATCAATGTAATCATTGATTACGCCTAATTAAGATACGTATATTATACGGGCGTGAACATATATAATATATAATCATATATAAATTATGTTTAGCATATTATTGTGTATCAGTTATCACCGATTTGTATGATGGTTTTTTTTTTTATGGATATTTAGCGATTTTATAGTAGATATTTGTATTTTTTCAGCTGATGCTAAATTTCCCCCAAATATTTGGTCTCAATTTTCTACTACCACCGTACGTACAACCAATAGCTGTGAATCATATAATATATATCATTTACGATTAATCCGTCAATTTTACAGTTCACATCTTAATATTTTTAACTATGTGGACGGATTATTAGAAATACAGTTAGGGACACAAGTAAAATTACGAAGCACAAACCAAAAAAAGAAAAATATGCTTGATAAAGAACATAACCTAAGGGAGCAAATTACAAAGTACGTTAATAATATGATTACCCGATTTGAGTTTGTTCAATCCATAATCCGTTTTATTTAAATTTTTACCAAGTGCATAATTTATAATTAATTTTTTTCATTATTTTTTTAATTTATTTTTATATTTTATATTTTTACAACATGCAAATTTTAATTATACTTTTTTGTATATATATAATAAAATAAATTTGTTTTTGCGGGACCCAATTGACCCATAAAAAGTTATTTGGGACCCAATTTACCAACTCCCGGACACAATTTAAAAGTTATATTAAACGTTAACATTTTATTTATAACATATAAAGAAATATTCTTAATCTTTATTTCATTCAGTCGAAAAATAGATATGCGTTTATAGTAGTATTACATTATAATGTCAGCTTTATCAATTTTTGAAATGGATACCACCGACGTCCTCCAACTATACAATCATCCGTGTTGTATATATACATTTATATATGCTCATGAATAACACACACAATATGCCTATATATAAAAGTACATACTTAATATGTTTACGGTTTTGAAACTGATGTACATAACAAAAAGTCACGAGCGCTATAGAAACGTCAAAAGTGATTTTTAATAACAAACTATACAAAAAAAAAAAAAAAATCCAGAACAAACCCGTTGTGTGTATGTTGTGTACAACAGGGATAATTTGAG